TTCTACCTCTTTATCAACGCATTAATAACTCAGTGGTAATCGAAATTTACTCAACCACAGAATTCAGCCGATCGTGAAGCGGAAAGGACGTTCGGTGGTTTTTCGATTACCTCTCTGCAATTTTTAAGTAGTGATCGTTATTATAAATAACGTTATGGCAACAATTAATCAAAGGAAAAGAAATGAAACGGAGTTTTACGTCCTAAGTCTGCACCTGAATGAGCTCATAAAGACGAACAAAGCCATACATGAAGCCTTTATTGTATCACATAAGTAAATAAATGCAGCGATTTGATTGGATTGTACAGTAGCAAATACAGCCAATCAGAGCTTTCGACGGAAAGTCTGTAAAAACCTAGCTTTCTGATTGGCTTATTCGCTTGCGTACAATCTAACCAAATTGCTACGTTCTGTGACACAAGAAAGAAGGCTATTGCAATCAAGGTATAAGACGAAGTTCGTAATAGCTTGACATTTTGAAGATGTGTTGCCCTCGACCGTATCTTCTACCTAATCCACTATTCGTGTGTTGCTCCGCCGCCCTTTATACCAGTGAGTTTAAGATTATCCGTCCGTTTTCCTAGAATTATCATACCCCCGGGACCAACACTATAGTGTAAAACAACTCGCTGAAAAACCTTCCAGTATTCGTGTCTCCCACGGGATCCATTTGATTTTGTAAAGTTAGACTTTTCTAACATGAGTCTTAATCAACGTGCACGCGACTTGTAATAAGGGTTCAGTAGAGTTTGATCTCGTGTCACGCAAATCACGTGTAAAATGCACAATGTTGTACACTTAACAACTTTTTCATTATGATCTCAGAAATAGCTGGGAGCTACGGAATAGTCAGGGCTTCGTGTTAAATCCACGGGGAGAAAAGTAATGGTGCAATAAATGCAGTAGCTAGCACTGTTTATTATAATTGTTGGAGCAAGTATCTTTGTATTTTTTATACACTCGCGCAAAGTTGCGTCGTAGATTTTTCTTTGAGTGTTATGAAAATGTTCATGATATGAAAAAATATACTGAAATACCACAGCAATATTACTAGCTATGTGGACTCTCTGAAAGGGGTGCCTAATTGATAAAACTTTATATCAAATAAACGTTTAAGCTATGTGGACTCTCTGAAATGCATGATAAGTTGATACAGCAAAGTAATATTATAATTGTTGTAAACTCTCAGAAAGGGGTGCCGTGTTGACAAACTGAAATACACGTTATAAGATATGTGAACTCCCCGAAGTAATGTCGACGGTACCAGTTGGAAAGCGACATCGACTGTAAGGGGAACATGGTAATGCATCACTGACAAGTGAACTTTATTTGTATGGTGTATTTGTAAACTATAAAAGCTTGAGTGCAATAGGATAAATTTTAATATGACCTTGGGCCCAATTTAGAACACCAACACTCAACGTATCATTGCAGATCAGGTAATCTTTCGTTTCTTGAAGAAATAACAACCCTTATTTCAACCCGAAACGAAAAAATGATAAAAATACTCATAAAACTGGTTCTGAAGAAAAAACTACTGCGTAAGAAATTTGAGACTTTAACAGGAAACTGCGGGTCATTACGGGAAATAAGGCAGTCTACAAAAATTAAAACTGAAAACTGATACAAAGTTTGTGCTGAATTTCCCGTGAACATGCAATGATGTAAGATGATCTGGAAATGACACCAGCCTCGGGGTCGTAATGCCTTGAATCCCCACGGACAGATGCGGGTTGGAAGACTTGTGTCACTGGCTGGTAACGTACGTTAGGACAGCCGCTCTGACCAGGGTGGCACATTGGCCTTCTTGCATGCTGGATGGCTAATATTCCAGCATAAAACGTGCTGTACAATTCTAAAACGTGTTATTTAATTGGATTCTTCCAATGATAAATATTTTATGAGCAAGTTGACAGATTTAAAAGGTGGGTTTATACAGAGCGCGAACGCGAACGCGACCGCGAACGCGACTTTTCATCAGTTCAGTCATTCAAATAGAGCGCGAACACGAACGCGGAAAAGCGTCGACGGCTTTTAATGCGGATCGCCTTTTTTGTTGTTAAACAAAGTGTGACAACAGTCAATTAAAAAGTAATTAATTAATTAATTGGTCCAATGTTATTTTCTTTATAAGTTCCATACCATTGATGAAACAGGCAAAATAAATTGAATTTTTTTTAATCACACATCTGTCAGTCCAACCTTCTCTCCGATTCCCTTCCAAATATCTTTCTTTTTTACTGTCTCTAAGTTTTTTCAGCTTTGTCAAACAAAACTGGATTCTTTTCAACTTCTAAAATCAAAACTTCCGTTTTATCCATTGTTTGTACCCTACAAGCAAATTGGAAAAGCCATGTGCACAAGTTTCTATTTTAGGAAATGATGCAAGGGAGGTGGTACAAGCTGATTGGTTGATAGCAAGAAATCCGCCGCGACTTTCTGAAAAATTCGCTCTTGGGGGAATTTCGGCGGTCGACCGCGCGAACAAATATTTGTTCGCGTTCGCGTTCGCATTCTATTTGAACGGTCCCTCTATAAAATGATGAAACCATTCCATGACGAAAAACCGCGTTCGCGTTCGCGTTCGCGCTCTGTATAAATGCACCTTAGCCTGCCTCTTAAAACGCGTTGTACATCATACAAAGAATATATAGTCTACTGCCTATTGCGCCGTCGGGTTGGTTAAACCGCACCAACCGGAAATAGAATCAAAATATTGAGCTAAAATGGGCATGACTTATGTTATGAAGTTAATTTCATTTGTTGAATTGTGTGGAATTTTCGATGATGTTGGTATTTTGGGGATTTTTTTCTTATTGACAAATATTAAATCTGTTTTGTTCAAATTTGTAAACTAAAACGATTCTATAATATTGACGCTATTTCTAACAATCACTTTGATTCGGATTTTTATACCAACCTTGCGCCGTCAGTGCCTTTGCACTGGAATTAAATAAACCAAGTAGGCTTACGATCCGAACTGCAAAGCGAACCCCAATTCAAAACAACATACTGGCGAAACACTAAGCAGCTAATGAACTATTAACATGAGGAAGTATATCAATCATAAGTGAATAAGTATTTCATAATAGAAGTTGTATCAGGTGTCTAGAAGAATAAGCATACCCTGTATGGCACCCGTCATAGCTGCTTAACTATTACCTGTTAGTGACCATGTCATTTTAGTTCGAGACTCCTCCTTTATATTCACAGTCGATTGCACAAATCTCAGATTTAGTTAAAGAATGCAACACGAAAGATAAGAATGCTGAATTGATCACCAATGTCCAAGTAAGTATCTAAAAAAAATACGACTCGCCCCTTTATTCTCAGTATCCGGGCTATGAATACAATATAATTATAGTTTAAACAATCTAATATTTAATAATTATTATAATACAAGTTAATCTACTCATTATACACTTCATTCATAATAGGACGCACGTGCATCATCAACTAATCACGAGCCCGGGTAGAATGAGTAATTACAGACCGGTCACCTGATTCTGACGTTAAAATAACAACATGGCGGCAACTGACAAGACAGGATGGCGGTACGTGACAAGCCGTGCCCCAGGATAGACTATTTCTACCCAGACATTTGACCTAATAAGGCATACATCTTGTCAAGCTATCAGATACAGTTTCACATCCTCACCATGGAACTATTTCATTCAATCTTATTCCTCTGACCTCGTGCTGATTGGAATAATCAGTCAGCAGACGACAACAGAATAAATCTAGTGTATCTTTCTCCAACTAGCCCCCTAGCACTTCCGCCCGTCTCGAGCACATTGCACGTGCTGCATGAAGAAAGAACCGCCATAGTCACGCACTATAGCACGTGGTGTAATTCGTACGAGAGAATGAGCACCCCTTTTAATTTAAAATGTTTCCATGACAGTTAGGATTTGTCATCAGTCCATATTGAAAGGAAAGACTCAATTTCTGGAATTTTATTGAGTAGCTAAGTGAGATGGATTACGTTTCCGGTATTGGTTCAGTTAAATGGCGGGAAACAGAACTGATCTTTCTGCGATCCTATTTTGTCTGCGAACGAGGCTGTAACACGAGGAATTGTGATATATCATGAGATAATTTATCAGTTTGTCGCAGACGACATTTTTTTTTATACGAAACGAAATATTCAAATTATGAAAATTTGATTTTGATTACAGATTGATGACTTGTTTCCGTGTTGTAATAAATCAAAGGAAGACATGTTTTTCTAGCCAAGGAAATATGTTTACTGCAAAAAAATAAATATACTGACGGAAAACACAGAGCTCGATAACAATAACTACTGGAAGTAGGCTACGTATAATATAAAGTTTGTACTAGCTAATATATCGAGATAAGGTAACAAAAACAACTGTAAGTACGTATATAAAATATAAAAGCTTGTATTAACTAATATATTGAAGTAATAAAAACAACTGGAAGTACATACCTCTTTTGAACTTTGAACACAATATGTTTAAGACATGTTAGTATAGAAGTTACTGGTGGACATCTTGTAGAATTTTCTCGTCAGCATTAGGAACAATGTTTCTACACCTCTACTAACTACCATTAACAGGGGTTTTTTTAATCTCGATTTTTATCTGAAAAGAATGCAAAAAAGTTACTAAAGATTGAAGTGTGGCCATGAAAAAAAAAAGTCTCACCAAGCTTAGTTGGTAGATTACAGGTAAAGGTCCACTTCCAGCTAAAGTTGATATCGCAAACTAGGTAGTTATTGGCCTCATAAAAACCTGGGAACTGTGACTTTCCCCTCTCCTGCCATGTATAAGTGTTATCGGTCGGGTGGAGAAATCGTGGTATTAACACCTTGCTCAGAGGCTTATAACACCTTGTCTAGATACTCTGTGATAACACCTGTAATCTAATACTGTTGTATTTTTACATACCTGTCTTACATTAGCGAAAATAGGGCAGGGGGTAACTCTACGGCTTCACATGAGAAGGGTTTGTACTTCTGGGGGTGCTTGGACAACAAGATGGGTGAGATGACGGAAAGGAATGGCAGCAAGAGGGAAGAGAAAGGGGAAATGCTTGGACAGCAAGAGGGGAGAGATAGAGGAAAGACTTGGACAGCAAGATGGGTAAGATGGGGGAAAGGAATGGGCAGCAAGATGGGAGAGATAGGGGAAAGGCTTGGGCAGCAAAATGGGAGAGATAGGGGAAGGCTTGGGCAGCAAGATGGGAGAGATAGGGAAAAGGCTTGGACAGCAAGATGGGTGAGATGGGGGAAAGGAATGGGCAGCAAGATGGGAGATATAGGGGGAAAGGAATGGGCAGCAAGAGGGGAGAGATAGGGAAAAGGCTTGGACAGCAAGAGGGGAGAGATAGGGAAAAGGCTTGGGCAGCATGAGGGGAGAGATAGGGAAAAGGCTTGGGCAGCAAGAGGGGAGAGACAGGGGAATGAATGGGCAGCAAGAGGGGAAAGACACCGACAAGTCTCTTGAGTAACGTTGACAGACCATTTTCAGTGTCCTTCGATTATTTAAAAGTCCAGTCACCAACTCAAACTTTTAGTGAAATAAACACCATTTCTATCACGCTTACGACAATCATTAGCCAACGACAGGTGAAGGCTGAGTAAAACGTTCAATTGAAATAAAAACTACAAGTTGTAACTGTAAGGTCAGGATGGCTTTCTACTATTTCATTGAGACATTTCTCAATCCGGGCGGTTTGTTTGTATTGACTGGTAAAAAGAGAGAGGAAATTCGCCGAAATGGTCGTGAAAGCACGAACAAGGACCAAGTTGCTGGCGTTTGGGTGTCTTCTAGCAGGCGAATTGACACAGACACGAGGGATTAGCGGAGAAAAACTGGTAAACTTACACCCTTTTTAACACTTTGTACAACACCTTTAACTCGTAGGGTGTGAGGGGGTCTGTAAGTAGGGCAGATGGGCGGTAGAGATCAGTAGAACGGGGGGACATCCGAGAGGGTTTAAGGGTTATGGTAGAAGTTTTAGGGGATATCGGAGAAGGTCTGGGAGATATACTAGCTAGTAATCGGAAGTCTTAAACCATGGGGAGGGTATATAAAGTATTATTGGCCTATTATGAACCAGGTTTCAATGTTTTGTGATAATTAAATCACGCGACATTTGAGAAAGTGTTGGTGAAAGAACGCCGCCATTTTGTAACAGTTGTTCTCAAGGTCAAATTACTTCAAGGTCAATTACATTAGCCTTTACCTTCAATATTTCACACTTTGATTCCAGTTTAAATCTATGACAGGGTGACGGTGGATTATAAACATAACAAACTTGACCGCACGGTAACAGAATGGGCTCAAATACCTAGATTGAAATGCAGAAGATACAATGTTGTCCTTTTAAATGCAATATTAAAGTGATACTACGTCTAAGAATTAACATAAAATTTAAGAATTTTAAACTTGGTGAATAAGAGCCACTAGATATACCTGGTGTCATAAATAACATAACAGGATCCATATATAATCCGATAAATCCAAATAATTTAGTAATTATCCATTAATATGTAATTAACTACTGAAAAACGCTTAATATTAATAATAATATCAATAATTACTTAGTTTTATCAATTTTCCAGATTTTACAGGGATTATGTTGCATCTTTATGACACCAAGGTAAGGTCACTGATGAATATATGCTCATATTGACCATTTTGAGAACTTAAATTTTATGTTCATTCTAAGACGTTGTATCACTTTAAGTTTTAGAGTTCCTCTAGCTACCCTAAACCTTGTTTCAAACCATTTGCAATCTAATGTATCTTAAATATTGAACTGATTACTATGTGTGTCACTTGTTAGAAGTTGAAAACTTTATACAATACTTTGTTCAGTATGCTTAGCTCAAATCCTCTGCTTTGTCCTTTTAGGTCAAACTTTGACCACCAACGATGATAAACCAGCGTTATCACGTTCAATCCGAGATGTTCATTAAATGTAAAAGTACTCTGTGTCAAGAGAGGTTTATATAAAAGGTATTTTGTAGGCTATTTAGTTAATAAATAGGGGTTTGTAAAAGGGTTATTGTATTAAAAGTATAAGTGGTCTATATCATCTCTATTAGTGGGCGTGGTCTGTCATAATTAGTTTCTATATAGCTCTATAATTGATGTATTGAGCACTATTTTAACAGTGGTATTTCTATATCACTCTACAATTGTTGTATTGAACACTATTTCAACAGTGGTATTTCTATATCACTCTACAATTGTTGTATTGAACACTATTTTAACAGTGGTATTTCTATATCACCTACAATTGATGTATTGAGCACTATTTGAACAGTGGTATTTCTATATTTCTCTACAATTGATGTATTGAACACTATTTTAACAGTATTATTGCTATATCGCTCTACAATTGATGTATTGAGTACTATTTTAACAGTGGTATTTCTATATTGCTCTACAATTGATGTATTGAGCACTATTTTAACAGTGGTATTTCTATATCTCTCTACAATTGATGTATTGAGCACTATTTTAAACAACTACCTAGTTTGCGATTTTCAGCATTCACTGGAAGAGACCGTTAACTTGTCATCTACCTAGTCTGCGAAATCAGTTAACTGGAAGCGTACGTTAATTGGCATCTATAGATCAACAACTACCTAGTCTGCGATATCAGTAACTGCTTGAAGCGAACGTTGACTTGTCATCTACCAACAACTACCTAGTCTGTGATATCAGTTAGCTGGAAGCGCACGTTAACTTGTCATCTACCAAAAACTACCTAGTCGGTGATATCAGTTAGCTGGAAGCGAACGTTAACTTATCATCTACCAACAACTACCTAGTCTGTGATATCAGTAACTGCTGGAAGCGAACGTTGACTTGTCATCTACCAACAACTACCTAGTCTGTGATATCAGTTAGCTGAAAGCGGAAGTTAACTTGTGATCTACCTAGTCTGTGATATCAGTAACTGCTTGAAGCGAACGTTGACTTGTCATCTACCAACAACTACCTAGTCTGTGATATCAGTTAGCTGGAAGCGCACGTTAACTTGTCATCTACCAAAAACTACCTAGTCGGTGATATCAGTTAGCTGGAAGCGAACGTTAACTTATCATCTACCAACAACTACCTAGTCTGTGATATCAGTAACTGCTGGAAGCGAACGTTGACTTGTCATCTACCAACAACTACCTAGTCTGTGATATCAGTTAGCTGAAAGCGGAAGTTAACTTGTGATCTACCTAGTCTGTGATATCAGTAAGCTGGAAGCGAACGTTATCTTGTCATCTACCAACAACTACCTAGTCTGTGATATCAGTTAGCTGGAAACGCACGTTTACTTGGCATATACCAACAACTACCTAGTCTGTGATATCAGTAAGCTGGAACCAACCAATCAGCCCCAATCTCAAAACCGTTTTCTCTAGACAGAATCCAAATCACTGCCATGTGTTAACCATACAAAACGCCACCGAATTTTATGGAAATGACAAAAAATGACAACGCGAACATTTTAATCATAAAATCCACAGGGTAATTTCATAAAATACATTATATTTACCGAGTAAATGAACCGAAAGTCCTGAACATAAATTGATTTAATAGGTACGGAGACGGTTAATACGTTAACAGAGAAAATGGAAATCACGACGGGGGTTAAAACGGCCACCAAGCTGGACAGTTATTATCAAATAAAAAAGTAATAAACCTCGACTCATATTGGGATATTTTATGTTAAAATAATTTGTGCCAATATGTTCTACATTTTTCCAATTTCATTTTTAACGATTTTTTGTCTTTTTCATTCAATCAAGTTAAATGAACGAGAATCATAAAAATGGCCCGTAAAAGTGGACCATTGGATTAAAACTGTTCTGTCCCCCTAAACAACGTTTGGTCTATTATCAATGAATGAACCTACAGAGATTGGGAAGCATAAATTAAAAAAAAGCAAACAAACAAGAAACATGACTTTCGTATTTAAATTCGCATTGTGTCAACCATTTTATATGACTTGAAATATCAGTTCTAGAATATAACTGATATTTCAAATTTTAAATCTTCTGTTCGGTTGAAGTCTTGTACAATTTGAGTAAAGGAAGGTTATAAAGGCATGAAACGGGCATGGACTGAAAAGTTATAAATCATCCACGTAATTCGAATTAAAATTTCATCCCCTAATCCACGCGGCCCTTTTTGATGTTGGAAACTTTATTATTTTAATAAACACGGAAAGATTATTGAACTTGCAGATCAAGTCTACCGCGAGCAGAAGTCTGATATGGGGGTCGAATTTTCCGGCAGATGAGTTTGATATTGAGCAGAATTATCTCATTTCATTCATTGATTTGTTATTTTATAGGGGGCGCAGGAAACAATGCCTATTTAAATATTTGTTTTGTTAGGCCGGAGGGTGGGTGTGGGTTCAGAGAATAGCCTATAGCCTCGAGCTATCAAGTCATATTATAGATAACGATGTAACACGATATCGTCTTGATAATCGAATCGTAGATATTTTCGTATTTTGAAGCTAAATTTGTATCTTTTGTAGTAATTTGTTGACCGATCATTATTATCCCATTGAAGATTCTGACTCCATTGATGACGTAACCGGGTCAATACAAATTTTGACGTCTGCTAATCGAATCTAAACAACTTGACGTCAGACACTTGTTACCCAGCATGCACTTTGTTTACTTCTGTCAATCAGACCAAGAGACTTTACAAATTCGAATTTGCACGTTTGTGAGAAGAAACAAGTTTTATTGTCGACATCATTTGATATGTTCATGTTAATTGCCTGTTTGTTTGTTTGTCGTCTGAAGTCAGATTTTAGCGCCAGTTTTGGAGGATATGTTTTGGTTCGTTTTTGTCGAATTTGAAGTTGTAAAAATCAACTGTCTTCTACTGTTTTACAGTGTTTGTTCTTCGCAGTATATGCTTTCATTACAGGATACACGATTAATAATTTTAAGCTTTGAAATAGCTCTAGCTCTGGTTATTTTACTACCTATTTTAACGACTTCAGATGAAATATTTAAATCGGCACATAAAAATTAATGACATTTGCCTAAATGTATACAACATTACAGAATTTAAGCAAGGTTCGCATAAATTATTATTATTTTTAATTGATTCAGTAAATTTACGTTATGTCGGCATTTGTCTTCGTAGACAGGCGATAATAAAAATAGCGAAATTTCAAGCGGGAACACAACTTTGATCTATGTCATATGTCTTTTTCAAAAATAAAAACAGAAATATAGGATCAATGACAGTAAAATTTGCATCAAAGCACTTTTGAAAATATGAGTCATTTTGTTTCCTAAATTCAAACACTATTTTTAAAG